TGATGACCTTTTGACCTCCTGAATTCTGCAATGAGATTTTCGGGTCGATTCAGCCGAGACGGCCCGAGTGGAGTTTCATGTAAATGTTTCGTACGGAAAAAAAAATCGCCGTCGGTCAAGGTTCAAAAGTTTCCAATTTAGCAAGAGGGCGCCATTCATGCCTTATTACAGAATTTGCACGCGTAAATCCCGGAGAACGCTATCTTGTGTTTATAAGATCTTTGTTTTCTGCTTACTGAGTTTATAGCGGGCGTACTTCTGGTGCTGCGCACAGAGCCGTAGATCGGCTCTGGCTGCGCACAGAGCCGTAGATAGAGAGAGTTTGGCCAACTCGGTTTCAATCACGTGACTTACACCGGCCATGTTGTCACCCAAACAACACAACGCGATAGGGTAGGAAGTTAGCAATTATTATGATTAATGCTATAATTATAATGTGAAATACCGTTATGTTGGGGTTGTTGCAATCGATCTCAACAAAGAAACAAAAATGTATTAATTACCTTAAATTCCAAAAAGGAGGAGGATTTGGGATTTTATTTTAACTTTGCATGGCGATCGAAAAATCTCGCTATCCACGTAGTAAATTATAAGGCATGTAGTGTACCGCCCGCCCCACTTCGCGGTAATATATATCCACCTACTACTACTACTAGGCCTAGACAGGCCTAAATTTCGGTACTTCTTCGGCCGAACACCTTAAGGTAGTACTTAAATTGGCTTAATTACGATGATAATAAAAAAAAAAGGGGGGGGAAGGATTTTCAAGCAGCAATGATTTATAAAAAGATGCAATGTTGCACTTGCTGTTAAATTATATAACTACATTTCCAGAAAGCTACATGAATTTACTGTATATCAGTCAAAGGTAGCTTAAATTAGGCCTATAATTAAAAATAAAAATTGAATCCTCCAACCAATAAAAGCAAAAACTTGTCCAAGGAGTCCTGTGCTATGCAAACAAAACATGCCAATTGTGGTTTACAAATCAATTAATTGTGCAACTAAAGATTTTAAAGATAAAAATATATTTTAAAGATATAGGCTAGGCCTAATTGTATTATAATATATTGATTGTTTTAATACATATTTTAAATCAAAACGTTTAAATGTTTTACAAATTAAAATTTCAATGAATAGTAATAAATAATAATAATAATAATAAATAATAATACAGTATAATGATAATATATTATAACTCACTAATATTATAAACAAGTATGGAGAATGCTGCTATTTTACTTACAAGGCCTAACTTCTTGATTATGAATGATTAGGCGTATGTTGTACAAAAATGTCTCTCAATGCAATATTAATTCTTCAACTTCGATTTATTGTTTAGATTACAATTTACAAATAGGCCTAGGCTATTTGTATTGGTTTGAAGATGACCAGCATATTATTTCATAAATTAAAGTTTACGAAGTCATAGGCCTAAAGGCCTAGATACAATTATAAAACTTTCATGTTATTAATATTTTTATCATTCATTTACAGGCGAAATTAACATATTATCGCCGACGATTCACAAACCTTCTCTCTGCACAACCAACCTTTCTCCTCTGCAGTGTTGACTCTTAGTCTTAGGCTGCTAGCAACTAGGTAAGGTATAGGCCTAGGCCCTAGACCTAGATGATAGACTTTCAAAACAAAAAAATAATCGTAACGAGAAAAAAAATGAATCGTCCTCACTTTATCTTCTCGAAATAATACAGCACGTCACTGATTAACTAATTCCAAAGTTAGGTAAATATGATTATATATGATATTTACAATGATATGATATGATAAAATCCCATAATTGAATTGTCCTCATGAACAGAATAATGAAAGAAAGTTTATGCAGCATCAGTGTTTTATAAAATGTTATAAAGCTATACGCGCGCACGCTTGGTGACAACATGGCGCCCATGCGCCAAGTTGGCCAAACTCTCTCTATCTCATAGAGCTATTAAACAACTAGAGTGCTGACAAGATGGCGGAGCAATGCAGAGTTGTGTATGTGTACCATCCAAGA